TAGAAGAAAGTATTCTTGTGTTGAGGGAGTACTTGAGTGGAGGCCCAATGGCACATGACGTCTTTAGATGGAAAAGCCAGGATGTTACTTTGAGGACTAAGGTGCTCATGACCCAAGCCAAGGACGTTTCCATCGCCTCATGCGCATGTGAAAGTTGGACATTGAATAAGGAAGACTGTAGAAGAATCGATACATTCGAGTTGTGGAGCTGGAGAAGAATATTGAAAGTACCAAGGACTGCTAGAAGGATCTATCTTGAAACATGGAAGGCCAGCGTGCTCCTTAGAGCCAAAGACAGCACGGCTTCACCTCACAGACTTTAGACGTGTTGTCAGGAGAGACCAGTCCCTGGAGAAGGACATCCTGCTCAGTACAGTAGAGGGTGGCGAAAAAGAGGCAGGCCCTCAAGGAGATGGATTGACCCTGTTTCTGCAACAATGGGTGCAAGCACGGAACGATGGCAGGCGCAGGACCGTGCAGTGTTTCACTCTGTTGGGCACAGGGTCACTCTGGGTCGGAACTGACTCGATGGCACCTAACCACAACTATCATTTATTTGTTTGCTTATCCCTGGTTGCTTCCACCACGTTTGTCTTGTTTCACATTGTAGCCCCAGTGTTTAACGGAGTGGGAGGACCACCAGGTGCACATGGAGAATGTATGTGCGGCATGGGCCCTCATTAGCCAACACTGTGGGCAGAGGCACCTGGAAAAGAGAAAACAGATAGAGGCAAACCTGCTGCCCAAGGAGCAGTGGATGGGGGTGGGGTGCGTTTTCCTTATATTTGGACACCTGTTGTTGTTGTTGTTGTTGTTCGGTGCCCTCGCGTTGGTTCCTACTCACAACGTCCCACTGTTTTGCCCTGTGCTGTGCTCACAATCATTGCAAGACTTGAGGTCAATGTGCTGTCATGGTGTCAATTCATCTCCTTGATCGTCTTCTTTTCCTTCAAGGACTATGTGCCTTGACAAGTACGATGCGCTCTCTAGGAAATGGTCCCTCCTGCCAGTGTGTCCAAAGGATGAGACACAAAGTCTTGCCATCTTCACATTTAAGAAACACTCGGGCTATTTTCTCCCAGGACATATTCATTTATTCTTCTGACAGCCTATGGCACCTGCAAGAGTCCTCACCAACACGAGACTCACATGCATTACTTGTTCTCTAGTTTTCCTTACTCCTGGTCCAAGTTTCACATGCATGTGAAGTGACTGGGATGCTATGGCTTGGCTCAGGTACATCTTAGTCCTCATTCTTGTTCTGCAACACTTTAAAGAAGTCTTGTGCAGCAGGTGTGCCCGCTGAATACACTGTTCGATGTCTTGATTGCTACTTCCATGAGCATTCACTGTGGGTCCAAGAGTAGCTAAATCTGTGACAACTGCCGTCTTTTCTTTGTTTATTGTGAAGTTATCTATTTGACCGGTTGTGAGGAGTTCGGTTTTCTTTCCATTGAATTGCGATCCACACTGAAGGCTGTGATCTTAGATTTTCATCAGCAAATGCTTCAAGTCCTCTTTGCTCTCAGAAAAGCCTCCCCAGAAGTTCTGACTGATAATCTAACCAACATAAACATTAAATCAAGATCAGGGACACTGTGACCACACAGGAGTCCTGGGGGGGTGGTTGGTTAATTGGCAAGGTCAACTGTTCAAATCCACCAGCCACTCTGAGGAAGAAAGGTGAGGTTTTCTGCTCTTATAAAGATTCATATTTGCAGAAATCTACAGAGGACACGTTTACTCTGTCCAATAGGCTAACTATGTTGAGCCATTGACTATATGTTAATATTGGTGTTGACTAGATGGAATTGAGTGTGGTTTGAGTTTTAATGTCTGAACAGCAATAAGCAAAGGGCTTCCAGTCTGCCTGGCCTGGAGAGTGGGGCAGGCAAGGAGAATACATTTACAGACAACCCCAAGTACAAGGTACTTCCATGGTGTTAATGCAGACTTCAGGGCCTTGTCAGTAAAAACACGCACTCACAAAAAACAAACAAACAAACAAACAAAAAAACGCCCCAGTGAAACTATGGTCACATTGAAGAACAAGAGGCATGAGGTGAAAGAGAGAGAAGAGGGATTGAAAATGGGCCCTAGATGAGTTCTGGAAGGCCAGGGAACACAGAAGAGGCCAGGAGAGGGCCTGCCAATCAGAACAAAGCAAGAACAGCGTCTTTGTTGCATGTGAGTGTGGTCTTGGTTCCGTATAGGAGGAGAACCATGGAAGGAGAGTGAGATAACCTGGAGGTGGGAATTGCCAGGTGAGAAAAGCAAGCAGAAGATGGGTGAGTGTGTGTGTGGGGGGTTCCCATTGGGCCCTGTGGAGTGGGTGGATAGGAGTGTCCATTGTGTTCCAACCTGAGGGCGTATTCTTTGGAGCCTGACTGTGCAAGAGACCAATCCAGTTTTCAAACTCGATCAAATACCAGAACTCCTCAGGGTTCTGAGTTGGTGCTGGGAGCATCTGATGCTTCATCTCAGACAACTTGATACTCCACTGCTTCTACCTAATGTTGCGAAGCATTGGGCTTTGAGTTGACTCATTGGGATTCTAACCCTGGTACCAGTTGAATGTGACCTTTATTGGGGAATAGAAGGTGGAAAGATGGCATTCGTTAGCATGTAGTCAAGTTGGAGCAATGTGAGTGCTTTCCTGTAAACGATCAATACAAAAACAGAAGCACAAAGGCAGAAAAACAAAAGGAGGAGGACCAGGAACAGCCAGAGGCAGAGATCAGAAGTATAGCATCCCAAGCCAAGGGATGTCTGGGGCCAACAGAACCAGGAGAGTCAACCATCTTCCTTCGAGACTTCAAAGAGAGCATTCCCCCAGCCAGCACTCTGAATTGGGACTTCCCGTTTCCAGAACAGAGACCATACATTTCTGTTGTGTTAAGTCATCTGCTTTGTGCTACTTTGGTAGCTCCAGGCAAAGCGTCCAGTCTCTCTCCAGCGTGGGCTTTGGATATCAGACTCATGAAAACTAAGCCAGAGGCCTCAGGCCAGAGGGCCCAACCAGAGCTCTCTTGGGTTTCCTGACCACCCCAATCCCCCAGTGTGGGAATGTAAGGAAGTTGCTGGAAGTGCCAGCAGACTCGAGTCCACCTTCTCCTGGCTGTGCACTCTCATCCACAGGCTTCTGCAAACCAGAAACGTAGGTGAATTCTTAAAGGGGGATTAGGATCACCTCCAAAGGGGCTAGAATTTGTTCTTGGAGGAGGTGAATAGATTGGACTCTTTTTATGTATAAAACATAAATATAGTACACAAACATATAGGTGATATGAAGAGCCAAATAGTATATATCTGTGATGTAACATTTGATTGTCACCCCTGGATGGGCAAGCATTCCTATAAGCAGCTGTTCCAAGCTGCCCACTTTCTGAACCTCAAAGAACTCCTTTGAGAACAAGCATCCTGGCCTCGGTCCCCAGATGAGCTGACAGGAGCTGCTTCTAGATCAGGTGCCTTGGCCCCAGACAACAAGTAGGCTGGCAGCAGATTAACAAACATGACAAGGCCACAAGTCAACTCTGATATAGACTTATCTGAAGTACAACAAACCTACAAGACTTAAAAGAGAAACCAACGATATCAATTTTCAATGATGGCAATTATAAAGTAAAAAGAGAGAGAAGTGTAGTTATATAACTTCCAAATAGAGAAGTCAAGTAGATATCAAGAACTTTGTTGAAGGTGAGAGCAGTATATAATGAAAGGGAAGTTGGCCAAGAATGATGGCAGTGGGGTGGGGAGGGGGCATTGGGAGGGGTACAAGAGTTAAAGGCAACAGAGATTAAATACTGTTATATATACAATCCTATAATGATGAGTAGATGTGTAACTAACCATGGGGATTGAGCCGACGTGGAGAAGAGAGTACACACACACACACACACTCATCCACGTACACACCACACATATATTTGACACAGGATATTTGTGCATGTGTATTTACCTTTGCTGAAACTATTTTCATGGATGTGGTGGAGTATCCAGGGGAAAATGTTAAACTGATAAGAACAGATACTACACTTGATCTTAGCCAAAAGCCCGAGAAGCGATTCTAGGGGAAAATGTTATGGAAATGTCTTGGATAAAACCAGGCACCTTGAGGGAATGAATCATTGTGCCTGAAAACTCAGGATCGTACTCCCAAAGGAGACCAAAGTCAGTTGGCATAATGCAGTCCCCAAAGTCTACATCCTACTTCGGAGAACAGCAACTGGTGAGCTTTTATGATGCAGTCTTGTGAGCTGCAATCTAAGGTACCTGTCTCTCCTGGCTGGAGAAAATAAGACAAAAATTGAAGACACATGGAAACAATGAATTCAAATGGTCTAATGGATGAACAGGTTGCAGGACCCTGAGACCAGAACTAGGTGGTGCTGGGCGGTCTACCATTACCAGCTGCTCTGAATGGGATGCTATTGGAATGACCTGAGTCAAGTGACAGATGTGAAACAAAACTAAAACTCTGGAAGGAAACCAGGTTTGCTGGTCCAAGGAAGATTGGTGGAATCCCTAAGACTCTGCTCCTTGGTCATCCTTCAAGTGGGGACCAGAACCCATCCTGGGGCTCAACTGACAACTTTCAACTACACAAAACTGTGAGGGAATAAAAATACTCTTGATGTGTGCACACCTTAGAATAATTGGGCACCTGGGATCAAGGGGGCAATATTGACTGACGGATAAAGTTCAGAAGGACTAAGAAAGAAGGAGGGATAGAGCTAGAAAACCCAGGGAGGAGGTGGGATGGGAGATGTTACATTGAGGGATGTTACAATGAGAGGAAGCAGAATGTGCAGGAATCATTGAATGTAAAGTTGGTGATGCCAACTGCAGGAGGAAAGCAGATTTAGTGAATGCATAAGCATCTCAATGCTGGCAGGGGTCTCCACATGACTGCTCCAGCACCCAGGGCTGCATCGGGGTAGGTCCATGTGGCTTCTCCTCAGGGATGTCTTAGAGGAAGTGAGCCTTGCCAGCTGACGCAGGGAATTGGCTAAGGCAGCTGCACCCTGGTCCGACCACCAGAAAGCGAGAGACCCGAGAACTAGAAAGGTGAGGCTCCCTGAGCCATTTATCCCTCCGCCCTTCAATTAACCCCACATGTGTTTATCGGCCAGGTTGGTACAATCAACTAACTACCTCAGCTGGTGATCTGCTCTCCAAACCTCACCTAAGTCACAACAACAAGTCAAAAGGTAATGGAATTTTCCCTTAAACGTGTTGAAGCCCCCTTATATACATGTGTATCCCCCGTGTGTTTGTGTGTGCATGTGTGTGCGCGCGCGCGCGTGCTTCAAGAAGTTAGTGGTTTTATATTATTGTTTTATTTCATTTTTTTCATGAATCTTTTGAAGATCATCTATGGATGATCTGGTAAGGCTTGCTTTGGGGATGTGAGTCAGCAGCCTGCCACCCAACCTGTAGATTTGGGGATTCACCAGCTCTTATAGCTTCTTCTGTCGGGAGAAGGCTCCATCCAGATGCCTATTCACGCATTTGGGACATGCCAGCCTCCACAATTGTGTGAGTCATTCCTTTGAAATAAATCTCCTGCTCTCTATTTTACTGGATTAACTCCACTAGTGAAGAATTCAGCCTAACATAGAGATGTTTGAGCTGGGTGACCATAGGCAAGTCATTTTACCTCTCCGAGCTTCAGATTTCTAACCTGTAGTTTAAATTTTTTTACATATATGGTAGCTGTCAGGGTTATTTATTGTGAACAATAGACATTTATTTGGACTAACTTAAATATAGAAGAAATTGATGGATGGGATTTGAGTGGCTCAAGGATTTGCTGGGAAGGATGGGCTGAAAGAATGTGCTGGAAACAAGGGAGGAGCTGCTTTCCCTACTTCTACACTGCCTCCTGACGGGCAGACATTCCTGTGGTTGCTGCCAGTCCTGTTGCTAGGACAAATTCTCCCTGCCCAACCTTCTTCCTACCACTTGCACCCAAGTCACAGCTTATGGCCAAACCAGGTCACATGCCTGTGTCCTAGGAGCCAGGAGGTGGAAGAAAGCAATTGTTGGCCCTTGTAGCTTCTAGTGAGTAGTGAGAAAAGTGGAACACTAAGACCCGTAAAGTGGGGTACCCATTTGTAACAGGGAGGCTCAGATGCTAGGCAACCAGAAATCAAGAGTCAAAATGCCTCAATAATGCCTATTCTACCACTTTATAGGATGGGTGGGTGGATTACACGAGCTGACGCCTGTCAAGTACTGGCATGCAGGAGGAGCTTGGTCGATAGCGGCTGTTACGGTCACTGACAAGGCCGTTCTCACAGTCATCAGTATTGTCTCATGCTCTCCTCGTCTCCAGTGCCCAGCCCCCTTCTCCACCTATCAGCATCCTGGTGTCCTTCCCAATCCCTGTCAAGTCCTCATTCATCCCAGGACCCTCTCCAGAACCCATTTCTCCTTCCCTTACCC